TCTCTCGCTCTCTCTCTCTCTCTCTCTCTCTCTCTCTGACCCTGATCTTTCTCTCCCTCCCTCTCCCTCTCTGTCTCCTCTCTTTGTCCTTAACCCTCCGAGAGTCCTGTAGCCAACCAAGCCCGCTCTAGTTTCTAACCCCGTCTGTTGGACACTTTGATGTTTGTCAATAGTTGGGGAGAGGTCGGAGAACAAGGACGCAGGTTAACTGGGACGGGGCCTGAGACATGCATTTTTGGGGACAAAAATCAACCGTACCGTTTCCTACTTATCATGATACCCTTTAATTGCAGTTGCACCCCTTCAACTTTTTATTCCATTTTGACGTTCCAAAGACCACCCAGTTTTGCTAACTTTTTTTCAAGACAAGTTTCTATCTCTCTACATCGAATCTGTTGGAACTTCAGCTGAAGGTATGTACTAATGTAGTCATAATAATATCCAACTTTATAAGATAATCATATGGGACAGGTTGAGTACTATCTCAAAAAGAAAATGCAGAACCACACTTGGCGCCCACCTATGGTCTGGAGAATTGGGACACAGTGTCCCACTTTACCCCACTGGTGTCCCAGTTTTCCTTAAGGAAAGATATCAACTTTTCCAGTGCAAAATTATCACATAATAATGAAACATGGTGCAATACAAGTATAATTGTGTTATCATTTTGGTATACAGCCCATTGTATATTAGCCTGCTATGTGGTTCTACATTTCTAATACCACTTTCCTGTTTTGTTTGTTTGTTTATTTGTTTGTTTGTTTTTTTCCTCGAATCTACAGGCAAAAACTCGAAGCGGCATTTACTTTATATAGCTCATATTATTATGAAATTATGAAAAAGTAGGTGAAGGCTGTCCATAACGGTAAGACTGTCTAGGAAGCATCAAAATCAACTCTCGGTCGTTGCGTACAGAAAGGGAAAGCATGTTACAAGGCTTCAGCCAAACTACCAGCAAAAAAAGGTTTTCTCTGAAGTACAAAACGGACACTCGCCGACTATCTACTCATCTTATGGCCTCGCAACAAACCAGACTCATGCGGTAGCCCGTGAAATGACAAAACAGAACAACGTGGAAATTCAGAGCTTTCGAATGGTAACACAGAGACTGGTAAAGAGTAGGGTTTTTTTCCTTTTTTCGCCAAGGTGACCAGATTTGTCTCTGCGCACTCAAGAGGCGACTTCTTCAAAAAACAAAACAATTAAAAAGCGTCGGTCTTCAACCGAGAGAGTGTAGCAAGGTATTTCCAAATTCTAGTAAAGTAATGGCAGCCACCAAGGTATCAGCATTCACTGTATACAACCTAGATAAATCTGGATGCAAAACTGTGTTGTGTCCCCCTCCCCCCCCCCCCCCCCCCCCAACCCAAAAAATAGGCCCCCCCCAAGGGGAAAAAAAGGTTGGGAAGATCACCTCACGGGAGAATGGAGAACTTGTCATCATTTTAAAAAATTGTTGTGCCGTTTCTGCAAACAGATCTTCCCTTCCACCTGTCTTCGTTTTCTTTAGAAGAAATTTTGAACGATATATTATAATGCAGTGAGTGGAGCTGCTGGAGGATTCCTAGGCAAGTAATGGGTTGAGCAACTCAGATATTTCCCCCAAAGTAACGGGACACTTCTTTTCTTTTGCTTGCCCTTGCAAGTAGAATCAAGCAATTTTAATTAGCAATCACCAGAGCCATATCTTGTCAATGCTTTTTCTTGAACTTGACTATAGGAACGTTATGCTTTTGACTACCCTATCACCACACACACAAAAATTAAACACATTTGATAGGACTGTCTTTATTATTTTTTCATATAGTAGAGGGTTTTACGGCGCTCGCAACTGCATAAGGTCGTAAGAGCGCCAAGGGGTAGGTGTCAACAGAGAAGTCTTTACAGGGAATCAGACTTATTCTGCTCACCTCTCTAACTTAAACGGCACAAGGTGTGCTTCGACTATCAAAGCACCCCGGAAATAGCGAGTCACTAGAGAGTGACAAACATACGAAAGAAGTAGAGGGAAAATGACAATAGTAGTAAGGATTAGGAAAGAAAAAGCAGCAGTTCCCTGTTGTAGATCAGGCACAGTTATGAGCCAGACATGATGAATCAGCCAATTTACAATACCACTGTGCTTGAACGAGAAATGTCGGGGGACCTTTGGGAATGGCCTAAACACACTACAGTCAGTGGCACTACCCCGGGGGGTGGACTGTCTTTGGTCCCATGGAAACAAAATATTGCAATTCAATTGCTAACAGCTCCATGCTCCAATATCCAGGAATGAACGTAACCATTTACAATATTATGGCATCTCAGATGAGCAATGTATAGATTCAGCAGTGGCCCCTGAAAGCATTATGTCTGTCTTCAGAGTTCAGAGTCTAAAGGATCTGAATGAATTGATGAAACCACGATTTTGACCGTCAGTTGAAACTGATCTACCACAGCAATATTAAAGCAGAGCAGCCTGAGCTCCTTCCACTTGTGAAGCCATGACCCACTTCACCCCAATCACCGTCCCAATTTACCTGCCACTGTCCCAGTTCACCACGTGCATATACTTATCATGACAATGTTTGAAACCAGTATAATTATGTTATAATATAATGCATAGGCCTATGCTTCATATTGTATATTTTACTGTCCTTTGGGCGTTGTTTCATGTGTAACTCATATCAGGTCTGAGTTTTTAAAATGAATAATAATAGATCTAATAATAAAAATAATAATAAAAATAATAATAATAATAATAATAATAATAATAATAATAATATCAATAATAGTAATAATAATAATAATAATAATAATAATAATAATAATAATAATAATAATAATAATAATAATAATAATAATAATAATAATAATAATAATAATAATTGCATTTATATCGCGCATATCCACGCTCTACAGCATTCTCAATATGCTTTACAACTACATGTATTATTACCCCCAGCAGACCTTAGAACACTCAGAAACATATTCGGCTTCCCGGGAAGCATACAGTGCAAGCTGTGGATTTCCCGCTCTCAAACACTAACCAACTGACAAGCGCTTTCGCTGTCTATTGTGTAGGTAGTCCTTCGTTTCCGAAGATGGCGATGAATCCTGCAGCTCCTCTGTGGACGTGCATGTGGCTGTGCAATCCAATCCTGGATGAACAATGTCTGTTGCAGTGGGGACACTGGAATGTCGTGGTTGTGGTGGTTGGCGTATGTCTCCTCTTTCTTCTGATAGTCAGCTTTTCCCTGTAGTTGTTATCGCTGTTTCTGCTGGCAATACAGACGGTCGTGCGTCAGGCGTTCCTCTCGGTGGCAGTTCTTTCGAATTATTTTGGGGTTACCTGTGCAAACTGGAGGTTTTCCTTTATCGTGTCTTTAAACCGCTTTTTTGGCCTCCCAAGATTTCTTTTGCTGTTTGCGAGTTCACCGTACAGCAGCTGTTTGGGCATTCGGTGGTCTTCCATGCGGATGACATGGCTGACCCTTCTCAGTTGGGCTTTGACGAGTATACTTTCTATGCTTTGTGAGCTTGATTGGTTGAGGACCTCAATGTTGGTGATGCGGTCTTGCCACCGGATGCCAAGTATGCTGCGGAGAGCCCTTTGATGGAACTGCTCTAATGTCTTGAAGTGCTTCCTGTAGAGTGTCCAGGTCTCCGAACCGTAGAGGAGGGAGGAGAGCACAACAGCTTTGTACACTTTGATTTTTGTTGACAGCCGGACATTGTGCTGTTTTAGTACCTTGTTTTTCAGTCTACCGAGAGCTTGTCTGGCATTGCTGATTCTTGAATCAATTTCCTGATCGATGGAGCCGTCTGCAGAGATGATACTTCCAAGGTATTTAAATTTCTTGGTGTTCTCCGGGCTGTTGCCATTGATAGTGATGTTTAGAGGCAGTGGGTTAGTTTTTGGGGCAGGCTTGTGAAGAACTTCAGTTTTCCCGATGCTTATTGTAAGTCCAAAAGCTGTCTATAGCCGAGTATCCATTTACACTCGGATGAAGTGAGGAAGATTTGTGTAAAGTGCCTTTCCCGAGAACACAACGTCGGGCCCTTGACGGGATTCGATTAACCCACGACCTTACAGATGTGGGTCCAAGAGCCAACCACTAGGAAAAATTGTGAGAAGCCAAATTATAAATGATGTCCCATTTCACCCCACTCTCTCCTAATCATTTCTCTCACCGAGCGCCAAATGTTGGTGGGTGCTCTCGTGTGATTTGCTACTTTTATCGTATCAAACATCTCGCTACTCTAGAATTACAAAGTTCTATCTGCTCAGAGTTTTGAGAAATTTCACGTAACAAATGATTTTTGTTTTTCACAAAAAAAGTCAAGCTTTTTCGAATGCAATTCTTAGACTATCTTGATAACGACTCCAAAAAATCTTATGATTTTGATAGAGCAGATAGAGCATTTGATTTCTGATCTCATGGTCAATAACTCGAAATGGCCAAAAATGTCTGATAGAACTTTGTAATTCTGGGGTAGCGATCTATCGTCCTTATCTCTCCTCCTTTCTTTTATTAATTATGTTAATATCTATAAACACCTTTAGTCTTCAGCACTTATACTATGACCAATTTGTGTTGCGGGTGACGTAAAACTCTTACTAAAACGAACTATAGTGCCTGATCTGAAACAGACGTCAGCGATCATGACGGTTCGCCACTTATTTCTCTCTCTCTCTCTCTCTCTCTCTCTCTCTCTCTCTCTCTCTCTCTCTCTCTCTCTCTCTCTCTCTCTCTCCCCCCCCCCCCTTCTCTCTCTCTGCGTTTTACGCCGCCCGGCATAAGGTCATAATATGAGCGCGCGGGACACATTACACATTTTCAGTTGGTAGGAAAATTTGAATTATGCTTGAGTGGCGGCAGAAACCTATTCTGATCGATTTTGAACCACCAAGGGATCTTTAACGTTCGCAACTTGCACAATGGACCTCCGAGATTTTTTGCCCTTTTCTGAGAAGGTTTGGTGTGGATCTAGATCTTACCTACCAAAAGATCAGGGGTGTGGCTGAAAGACAACAGTATGATTTATATATATATATATATATATATATATATATATATATATATATATATATATATATATATATATATATATATATAAAGTTTATATACAACAATATTGCTATTGTTATAAATTTGTCTAGATCAATATTTTTGTAAACACCTACTGTATTCTAGAAAATTCCTTAATAAATACAAATAAAAAATCCAAGTGGGTGGTTTCTACAGATTTAAAATGTTTACAGCTGGGGTATATAATTGTTTTTAATAAAGTCCGTCACGTAATTCTTACCAGGGACATTGCGCTTATGGAACGCACATTTTGAGAACCATAATATTATATTGATATAGAGCAAAAAATGCGTTCACTATAAAATTTATTTCTTGTAACAAGTTTTGCCATTAAAAATTATCATCTATGAGCTGTGACGTAGGTCATGCATGATCAAAATGTGTGAGAGTAGGGAGAAGTGCTGTGAGCCGTTCCATTATACGTTTGGCAGAGATTCCAAGTATTTTATATAATTTTATGAAGAAAAGTTTTTAAATCTAGACTAGTCCGATTTGGTCTGTACAAACTGCTGTGCAAAGTACGGATGATATTTATTCTGAGATATTTGAGGATAAATTGGGCCACAAATTTTTGACCGCACTGTAGTGAATATGAATACACAATACACAGTGTTGTAATAACTTTAATAATAGCCTAGGCCTATAGCCTAGGGCTATCTCAAGGAGCTTAGAACTCCTGCATCTGCGGGAAGGGAAATGTTTGCCGCTTAAACTGGGCATCTTAGGTGACAAGGTTTCCGATTGAAACTTGTTACACAATAAAATTTTAAGGCGTTTTATTCAGCCCTGGCGCTAACCGCAACGCGGCGTTGCAAATAGGCACTTCCAAATTTTAATAGTTTTTTTTTAAAGCTCTAAAAGAATATGAAACTAGATCTATATTTCAAAATCATAATGTAATAAGCAAGAAGATTAGAACGAAATTTATAGTCTGGGAACAACTAGTGACCTTTCACACTCTGACCTTTCACCGCTTGCGATAGCAGCGACTTATACTTTTATCAACATGGCTGGCAACGGAGACGGTGAACGCCTCTTCTTAGGCTTTGACTTCAGCACTCAGCAAGTAAAAACTCATTTTTCATGTTATTTTCTTTTTCTTTCAAAGCTTGATCTAGCTAGATCTAGATCTAGATCTATGTTCATTCACGCGATGTTTAGGGAGGTGTGTTCTCCACATCGCCTTTTATTTGACCTGAAGTTAAAAAAAAGAGTGCAGTATTCAGTATCATAGATTTTTTTAAATGTCTGAGATAGAGATTGCCCTGCAGTGTCGACGTGTTACAGGAAGAATCCCTGGTTGCCGGTTGCAGGCAGTTGAGTGTACGAGATAATTAGATCTAGATCTAGAATCTAAATCTAGAGAACGTCAGATGTACGCCATTGGCCGATTTTTTAAATAGTAAAACCATCTTGTTTGGGTCATAAATAATGTGTGTTCTTCATACAGACAAAAGACAAAAGAAGTTCGACACATAGAATAGACTACATCTAGATCTAGATCTAGAATCTAGATCTAGATCTAGATGATAGGCCTAAAGGCTCATTATATTATGTATGTTAAGAAATGTCAAACAAGATGGCTGTTACTATCGGCCAATGGCGTACGTCTAACGTTCTCTAATTATCTGTTTGTAGCATGGCATGAGCAGGGGCGAAGGCTGACTTGTTTGACAGGGTAATCAAAGTGAAATGGGACCAGATAGTGCCTGGAGATATCACACTCACACAAGTCACAAGAATCTTACTGGCACTGGAGGCGGCAACTCTGAGTTGTGAATGAAAACAAATCCTGAATTCATGTTGTGTATGCTTGTTCAACCGCTAAAATAATCAGGAAAGTATTTCACTAAATATTTATTCTAACCAACCTTAAATTTAACTTTAGATTTGAACACACGAACACCAAGGAAAGAAGCACAGATGTCAGCACTACAATGGCATGTTATTCCAGACAGCCGAAACACTTTGGTAGAGCACGCCAATTATTAATTTTTTATTTCACGTTTGGCTGTTTTTTGTCCAGGCCGCTGTCATAATCGAGGTCACGATCTGATTATAGGACGTTAAAAAGTCGAGGAAAAAAACAAGCACTAGCAGTGTAGTAGCAGGAGTCAAAGGATTATTAGGAGTTAGTTCCCCTCACATCTGTGAGGTAGACTCGACCAGTGTAATAGTTCGCTTAGATAATCAGCGCGTCTGGGTGCTTATAACTGTGGCTTGAAAGGGGTGAACAGGGTATATGCGACAATGAAACAGTTCTGACTGCTATGCATGCACATGTTCCCTTCAATTCTATTGGTTGACTCTTCCAGCCTCATTTTAAGCTTACTTAATCAAAGCGTGTGACTGCTTATGGAGTGGCCCGATAGGGACGAACAGGCTATTTCTGTGGCAATGAAACGGTTTTGAAGGTTAGGCATAGTCT